AGCCTCAAAGCTCTAGGCAGGTTTTCTAAAACCTGTATTTGGATCACCCAGAGAGATCACCCCCTTGGCTCCCTAGACTGGCCTCTGACTGCTATGGCAGTGTCTTATAGGGGAGACAGCGAGGCCTTGGCCGCCCAGTAGCTGTGTGATTTGGGCAAATTCAGGAACCTTCTCTGAGTCTTTTTTACATCTGTAAAATGGGGAGTCATCGTGCCTGCTTCAAGGTAATTGTGAGAATAAAATCAGTGAAATTCAAAGATAGCAGGTGCTTGATAAATCGTTGTCGTTATTGGGTGCTGTCAGTTGATTCAGACCCACAGTAACCCCATGTGACAGAGTAGAACTGCCTTGTACGGTTTTCTAGTTTGTTATCTTTACCGAAGCAGATCGCTAGGTCTTTCTGTCACGGAGCCAGAGGTGGGTTCCAACTGCCAGCCTTTTTGGTCAGCAGCCAAGCACTTACGATTATGCCACTAGGGGTCCCTTGATAAATTGTAGCTTCCATTTCATAACACCTACTGTGTGTCATTTAATAACACCTACCATGTGTCGACTGACTCCAGTGCGGGTGGGGCAGGGGCGGTGTGGGGGTAGCTCCTCCCCAAGAGCAGTTACCTGGCAATGTGGCAGGACTCAGGGGGGCAGCAGCCAGTGGAAAAAGGGTGGGAGCCAGCACTGTTTGCCCCAAACTGAACCACTTGTTATTCCTACAAGTTATCTGATTGCCCCGGAGGAGGCTCCGAGTAGAGGCTGTTTTCTAATATGCCTTCTTCCCTCCCTGACTCCCGCAGTGGGCTCTGCTCCCTCCACCCTTGCCCCCCACCACCTCTGCAGTTGATGGAGGCTCCCCACAACTCCATCTAGTTTGAGAAGCTGTTGGTGTGTCCATGTCTCTCATGGGTGTGGGACTCATCTGCACCTCAGCCTGAGATTCCCCAACTAGGGGGGCCATGTCTCCCCCCTCAGACGGGGGCTTCCTGATGCTAGGATGTTTTTCCTTCAGACTAAGGATAGAGTCTGTTTCCTGCCTCAGACTACGGCTCCCACCAGACGGAAGCCTCCCGCCTTGGGCAGGAGTTCCCTAATGCTAGAGCCTGTGGTTCACTGTGCGACTGGGGCTCCTTAAGGGCAGGAGTTGTCTCCCCCTCAGCTGGAAGGGACCGCTTCAGGGCACTGACTGGTCTGTCTCCCCATCCTCAGCCCGGGCCCAGCCAGGCTCTGCTGGTTAGAAACTCCTGACTTCTGAGGCTGCAGAACCCCCAGACTCCTTCCCCACCCTCTTCCACGCCCCTTCCGAGCACTTTGAAGGTATCAGCTCACTCACCTTCACAGACCCCAGAGGGCCAGGCTGCTGCACCGGGGTTAATAAGCTCAGCCTTTTCTCTCTCCCCTTCTCACCCCATTCAGGACCCACGGCAGCCCACCCTCCCCCCAGCCTCTAACCCTGAGATCGGCTTTTTAATTGCTTTCTCCGGATCTGCTCTGCTCCCCACTCCCCTCGTCTCCCTGCCTGACTGCATCCCTCCAGGAAGGCGGCGAGAGGCGGGGACCAGATGTGGCCCTGGCAGAGGCGAGGGCTGGCAGGCAGCCTGTTATTTCCAATCCAGCGGTCATCCAAATGGACAGGATGAGCCAGGAAATGGGGCTGGGTGGCTGCAGGCTGTGGGCCATCTGATGGGAGCCCTTGGAGTGAGCTGAAAAACAGCCAGGTCTACTCCCCCGGGGGCGACTCTGATCCCTTCCTCCCCCCACATCCCCCATCCCAAGCCCTCGTGGGTCCCTCTTCACAAAAGAACCATGGAGGGGGAAGCCAGAAACTAGATTCTGGCTGGGAACCAACATCTCTGAAACAACATGGAGAGCAAAGGGACATACCTGGAGACAGATGTGGAAGGGTCTGGGCGGCAGGACTCCTTAGTAGCTGCCAAGTGGTGATGAAGTGCCCTCTGAGGACCAAGCCAATGGCTGGGTATGGGAAGGGGAGAAAGCCAATTCCCCCACCTGGACAGGTACCAACACTCATGGAGGTTTTGGCTTCCACTCAGGTGACAGGGACAGGTACCATCCCTGACTCCCTGCATGCAGGAGCCATGTCTTGTTTTCAGCTCCTGGCCCTGAGCCTGGTGCTGTGAACTGGACAGGAATCTGTGCCCGGGGTGGGGGTGAAGGAGGGAGCTGGGAGACTGAGGCAAGAAAGGAGGTGGGTGTAAAGGGCCTGGGAAGAGAACCTCTGCACTAGTAGAAGTGGAGTGCGGGGCTCTGCCAGGTCCCCAAGGTGGCCCAAGAGCAGTTACCTGACATTGCCAAAGTAGGCACAAGATGACCTCCCACACATGTCCCTACTTGTGTCAACATCTGTCAGGATGCTCTCATGCCCACAGGACAAAGCCCAGGATGAGGCAGAGAGGGGGGCCTTAGGCGAGGCTGGGCCCGCGGTGGTTGGGGAGCCATCGATCGCCATGTCTCACGGATGACTCTCTTTACGTAAGAACAATCCAATCTCAGCGCCTTGTCGCTGCCCACAGAGGTCAGCTGGGAGCTGGCTGTCAGCTCGCTTCCCCCCAGCCCCTGCCAGCTCCCCACAAAGCTTGGACCAGCCAGGCTGCCTCCCAGGCGAGCAGGACACCGAGCAGCAGCGAGCACTCTCAGCTTGACCCCGTGATTGAGGGCAGGAGCCTCACATGCTGCAGTCCATCGGCAAAGTCTTTGTACATTTAATGGGTCACCCAGAGCGCATTCTGCCCCACGGAGCTCCCAATGTTTGCCAAGTGGATGGATGGTGGCAGAACATCCTTGTCAAGAGTGACCTCTCCACTTTCGAGCCGCCCCAGCCCAAGCAGATTCTGCCTCGTGCAATGGACCCTGTGGTGTACAGGTTGCCCTCCTGGCCCCAGTCACCAGCTGCCTTGCCCTGTGCCTGCTGCATTGGCACTTGCAGGGGTGTTTGTAATGATCAAATGAGATAATGTATGTGAGGGCCCCAGGAAAGGGGGGAGCGCTTCCATTTGAATCCAGCAAACACTGAGTGGGTCAAGGCACCATGGCAGGCGCTGGGGGCTACAGATGTGACCCTGGGACTGCTCACGTGGGAACAGAGGTACACAGGAGGGGAGAACTCATTAAGACTAATTGGAGAGGAGGGAAGCCGGGCCTGGGAAAAGAAATGTCTGCTCACTTGCAAGGGGCAGCAGCTTGGTGCAGTGCAGAGCCAAGCCCCGGCATGGAATCCTGGCTCTGCCACTTGCTGTTGAACTTTGGGCAAGTTTTGTGAGCCTTTTTGAGTCTGTTTCCTCATTATCTACCTCAAAGGGTCATGAAGTTTCTGGACGATGCCTCGCAGCTAGGAGGTACTCAGTGCTTTTCTTTCTCGCTCCCCTAAAAAGGAATCCTAACTGGATGGGGAGAGGCTGACCAGGTAGAGGGGGGCTGCTTCTTCAGAAGAGTTAGGTCTCATTTGAAATTAGCAGCATTATTGACACACTACTCACAACGTGCTAAGTACCATTAACATGTTTGCCGTCAGAAGCAAGTTAAACACAGCCTCCTGTAATTTTGTTTACACTATTAATTCATTCAGCCAACCATGTCTTCATGGAGAACACGGGGAACATGTGTGGGACTTCACACGTCCAGATGAGTGAAGGTGGAAGCCAGGAGAGGGGCCTCGTGGAGCTGGGGCTGGGGCAGCAGATTGCCCTGGGTTCAAGCTGGCTGGGGCTTAGCCTGAAGCCTCACCTCGGACCCCGGGACCACCAGAAACTCTCTCCCTGGCAGCAGGACTCCTAGCAAGCCACCTCCAAGGCTGCAGAAGGATGGAACAGGCCTGAGGCACAATTGCTTCTTAACCTCTGAGGGGCAGGCACCCTTCACAGAGGTTTGGGGTGTGGAGTGTGGTACATGGTTCACCCCTGGGCCCAGATCTAAGGCTGTAGGAGGGGGCAGGGTGGGAGTTGTTTTCTAAACTCGAAGTTTCTTGAGGCTCTTGAAGAGTGGAAAGGTGAGAAAGGAAGGTGTTGTCATCCTAAGCAGGTGTACAGAGAGAAACTCACACCAAGGATAAAGACAGTTTATTAATCATGATAATAAAAAAATATATCTAACTGTAGGTATATATATATACATATGTGTATATATGTCTGTGTGTGTGTGTGTGTGTGTGTGTGTGTGTGTATAAAGAAGGCCTGGTGATCTGCTTCCATAAGATTATAGCCAAGAAAACTCCATGGAGGGCATTTCTGCTCTATAACACATGGGGTTGCCATGAGTCAAAATCGACTTGATGGCATCAGATTTTATACATATATACACACACACACACGGAAATAAAACATTGGAAGGAAAAAAAACCCAAGTATTAGCAGCAGTTATATCTAGGTGGTAGCATTAAGGCTGAATTTCCCTTTGTTCTTTCCATGTTTTCTTGTTACATTGAATGTGTATCACGTTTATAATAGAACAAAAACAATAAAGCTATCTTCATTTGGCAATCACGTCACCACCATCATCTGCATCATCACCAGGACTGCTGCTTGGGGCCCGGGCTCCTGCTCCAGGCTAGAGGCAGTGCGGTTGAAGATGCCCCCCTTCCCACCCCGAAACTGGGAAGAGGCCGAGCTGGGACTCCGCATCCCCCAGTCCCATCCCCATGCCTCCTCCACTGGGCACAGCCCTGTCTCAGACCTTGGGGGTAGGGGACAAAAACAAAAAAAGCCCCTGGCCTGCACAGAGGAAGGTGTTATAAACTAGGGGGGAAAGAGGCAGTGCCCCTTAAAATAGCAACACATTAACACTCACAATTGAATATATACACACTGAGAAGCTGAGTGTAACCGGAGATTAATAAAGAGGGTGAGTAGCAGAATGAGTGGCCAGGGGAGGGGTGTTAATAAAGGAAGTGCTTGCTGCATTAATTGCTACGAGCTGAGGGAGGCAGGCCCAGGCTATTGGTGTAGGTGGCTCCAGGAACCAAGAGGGGACAGCCAGCTGAGGGGCCCAGTGGGTCAGGACACCTTGGTGATGCAGCTCCCAGCTGACAAGGCTCCCCCAGCCCCCACTAGTTCCTTCTGGCCCCTCTGATCACCAGGACAGTGGGGACTCGAGGGGCGCTCTGCAGGCCAGTTGGGTGGAGGGAAGGCAGAGAAGAAGGAGAAAAGTGAGGCTCTGTCCCTGGGTCCCTCTTCCTCCATCCCATCTCCCACTCCTTCATTGAGGTCCCTGAGATGCTCAGTACTTTAGGCTCCTCTTGACGAGGTCTTGGCCCACCTTGTCCCCCCTTACTCTCTATCTTCACCTGCTACCTGGGGCCCAGACCCTCCCTGTCCCCAAGGCCAGTCACCTGGGATTGCAAAGGGCCCAGCTGGCCTCTTCAAGGTGCTGCTAGGGAGGCGGGCAATGCGGCTGTGGCCCCGGGTCACTCCCAGGGAGCGGGAGACTGAGGAGCTGTGGGAGGGAAGCAGGGAGTGAAGGTGGGAAGGATACAGCCCTGGCTCTGGACCTTAGGGGTGGGGTGGGCAGACCTAGACCCTAAGCCTTGAGAGCAGGGGAAAGCTGAGGTCCTTGAAGAGCTTCCAAAGCTATATCTGAGGGTGGGAGAGGCAGTGGGGGGAAGAGAGGTTTGTGGGGTTTGGGACACGGGAGGGAAGTCAAGGTGGTGGGGGGAGTCCAATCCCTGGATTAACCAATGAACTCTAAATGTCTCCCTCCTGGATAGAGGGTCCTGTGGCCTTTAACTGAAGGAGGCGATAAGGAAACCTCCATCAGAGGGAGATGAAGAAAATTCCATCGTAGAGCTAGACGCTGGTGCTGCTCACAGACCTTGCCAACCTATAGTCGGCCCAGGTGCCCACTGCTCTGGTGAGGGCTCTTTCTCTCCCCCGACACCTCCCAAACCTCACCTCCCAACACGCCTCTTCTTGCAGGCTGAGGTCCCAGGGAGGAAAGAAGTTGGCTTGGGGCCCTTTGTGTTGAACAGGAACACAGGTCCACTGCGGGAGGGAGAAAGATGAAAGAACAGATCAGGAGGGAATCAGAGAGTGGTGCTAGCCACTTCCTCCCTCCAGCCCCCAGCTCGGGGCAGGGAGGCTGGACAAGATGACCTCTGAGGCTTCTTCCTATTTAAGAGGTGGACTCTCCTCCCTGCCTCGCTTGGCCTGGGCTGACAGCTGAGTGACAGGCCTGTTTTGGGAGAACATCCAGATGTCAGTTTCTGGTGCGTCTAGGGAACTGGAGTTCAAACAATTTCACCCTTCCACCTGCCCAGCTTGGAGCTTGTTACTGAGAGGTGGTTCAGGGGCTGTGGGAGGGGTGGAGGGAGGCAGCTGGCTGGCCCTTGCCACACAAGCTCAGGTCAGGGTGTCACTTGCTCTTGGCCTTTGACCGTCCTGAGCTGGTTGCTGTTCCCCTACTCTCTGCCATGTGGGTGGAGAATGAGGGCAAGAGCTTCATTTTCTCACTGAAAATACATCAGAATAAAGTTTTCTGAGGACCCTCTTCCCAGTTCCAGATACTGTGCTGGAAGGAAAAATCTCATGGTGGAAGTGGTGGAAACAGGTATTTCCCGGTGGGACCTAGAACTCAGACCAATCGATGCAGAGGAATAGCTAGTGTTGGGTTCCCCTCCTTAACTGTTGTCCTTTGCTGACGCTTCCCACGTTGGGGTTCCGTTAGCTACTCATGGGAAGACCACAAACCAGCACAGACTGGGGGCTTTGAAGAGGGGCAGACAAGGCAGGACACCCAAGAGAAAGGACACCTCTGTGGGAACTGTATATACTGCTCTCCTGGGCCTGGGGAGCAAAACTGATTTTCTGCTCTAAGAGGCAGGCTGTCTTCCATGCCTCTGGGCAGCACCACTGTCCATCGCTGACCTCTGGTCCCCTGCTGGCAAGGCTGGGAGGGAGACCTACCTAGGGATGAAGGGCTGCTCCAGCCTGTTCAGGTCCTGGGGGACATTCTCCCAGCCAAGGCATTCAGGGAAACTGAGCTTGGAGGGGGGCTCCTCAGAGAGATCAAAGGTGGCGTTGAGGTCCCGAGCAGGCAGGGCCAGAGGGGTGGAGCAGTTCTGCAGGGCAGAAGGGCCTAGGGGCACCCGGCTTTTGATGACTGTGGCTGGGCAGAAGCGAGGGGAATGGCAGGGAGAGGAGGTCCTTCCCCCCTTGGGGGTGCAGGGCCTGAATGCAGGCTGGGCCTCAGGCAGTGAGCCCCTCCCCAGGCAGGGCAGGAAGGACTGGCGCTGGCGCTTGGTCCGCAGCTTCAGGGCTGGGGGGCTGTCTGGCTCTGAGGGGCTCAGTCTCCTCCTCTTCTTCTTCCTCGGGGGCCGCTGAGATGCCTGGGCTGGGGTGCAGTCAGGCCCAGGTGGGATCCCCAGCATGGGCATGAGGCCACTTAATTGCTTTGCCATGGTTCGGGTCACAGGGCCGGAGTATCCTAGAGACTCTGGGCACAGAGAAGGAGGATGCTGAGGGGAGACTGAGGATGGCCAGAGGGAGGAGACTCTGGACACAGAGAAGGAGGGTGCTGAGGGGAGACTGAGGATGGCCAGAGGGGAGGAGACTCTGGACACAGAGAAGGAGGGTGCTGAGGGGAGACTGAGGATGGCCAGAGGGGAGGAGACTCTGGGCACAGAGAAGGAGGGTGCTGAGGGGAGACTGAGGATGGCCAGAGGGGAGGAGACTCCGGGCACAGAGAAGGAGGGTGCTGAGGGGAGACCAGGGATGGCCAGAGGTGAGGAGGACTTGTAGAATTTGGGAAGTGGGACACAGGAGACATGAAGGAGCCCCTAAAGCCTCAGGTCCACCGCAACTCCACGTTCCCATGGGCCCAGCCTCCTACCTGTGCACCCAGTATCTGAGGCCCCCAGCCACCCTTCAGCCCCAGCTGAGCCTTGGAGATGCACCGATAGGCAGGAAGAGAACAGGGGCAGACTCACTTGACTCTGAACACAGCTTCTGGGCCAGAGGTGCCTCCCTGCCCAGGCCAGGAGTCCTGGCAGCCTCTGCCCCGGACTCAGTTTTTTCCTCTTGCACCAGCTGCTGCAGGGTCTCAAACTCTGCAATCATGTCCGGGGTCAGGAGGTTGGCTGCTTGGAGCAGGGAAAACTGCCGCTGGGCCAGGCACAGCACCTTCAGGGCCAGCCTGGAATGGAGAGAAGAGGATCCCCATTCCTACTCAGCCCCGACCCAACCGGGGCCCTCGACCTGCACCACTCCCATCACTCCAGGTGTAGTAAGGGGCACACGTGGGCTGGCTGGCCCTTCGCCCCTGCCAGCCCCGGCTCCTGCTCGGTCATACCCTTGCCACAGGGCCAAAGCTGGTCAAAGGTTACGGTGGAAGGCTTCATCCACTAAACATGCCGCACAGCAAAGTCAGTGACCAGAGAAGTAGGGAAACGGCGCTAAGTGGCCTTGGGCTCAGAAGGTCTGAGTGTCCTCTCAGCTCTGCCAGTTACTAGTGGTGTGATCTTGAGTACGTTCATTTGCCCGAGAGGCAATGCAAGGTAGCAGTTAAGAGTACAGGTTCAAGTCAGGCTGCCTGTGTTCAAATTCTGGCTCCAACACTTTCCAGCTGTGTGATTTTGGATGCATTGGGTAACCACAGTCTCCACATCCTTAGAATGGGGATAATAAATGCACCCACCTCATAGGATTGTTCGAACGATTAAATGAGTTGCTTTACATATCAAATGTTTTAACAGTGCCTGGCACATAATAAGTGCTATGTTGTTGTTACTGGCTGTCAGAAGCAGTTTGCCAGGACTTTCTTCCATGGCACCACTGGGTGGGTTCGAACCGTCAAACTTTGGGTTAGCAGCTGATCGCAAACAGCTTGTACCACCCAGGCTCCTAAGAGCTATAAGGTTAACTAATTATTGTTTTTTTGTTACCTTGTTAGGGTAAGAGGAGATTAAATAAGATAGGCTATGTTTATCTCAGTTCTGAGAAGATGCTCAAAAATGCTTTCAGTCGGTGCTTTCTATTAAACGGTTGGGATCCTGAAGAAGTCTGTGTGAATCAACATGTATTTCACATGCACTGGAGAGCTACTTAAAGGAAATTATGAGGGTAACGTGATTATTGTTGTTGTAAATTTAGATTCTAATAAAGCAAATTTTCTTTCTGTAAGGTACACCTATGATAAAAGAATAAATCCAATTATCACAGTGGAGATTATTCATGGCAAATAATTTATCCTCAGGTAGCTCCAGCTGCCCAGACATTTTCAAAGCCCCTCCGCTGCCCTCACTGTGCACTCAGGGAACCTAAACTCATTTTACAAAGCAGCCTCAAGGCCTTTTTGAAAAAAGGCAGGATAGAAATGAAAAAGGACACAACAGAAACAAACTCATTCCATATCCACCTGAGCCACACATGATAAGATTAGATGACTGAGAAAAATGGGTGTTTGGGAGAAAAAGCACTGGCCTGGATGTCAGATGGAGTCCTGGTGGTGCAGTGGTTAAGAGCTACGGCTGCTAACTAAAAGGTCAGCAGTTCAAACCCATCAGTTGCTCTTTGGAAACCCTACATGGGGCACTTCTGCTCTGTCCTATAGGGTTGCTATGAGTCACAAGCAACTCGATAGCAACGGGTTTGGTTTTTGGTTTTGGTGGATGTCAGATGGCCCAGGTCTGCCCCTGTCTCTCTCGCTGTGGGATCCTGGGCAAATGCCTCAGTACCCAACATGATAAATGGAGAGTTGATCTTAATCAGGGGTTTTCAAATTAGGTTTCCAGAAAACTGCCAAAGGACACTTCAAACAGCAGTTCTATTTTGTCTGTTCTACATATTGGACTTTAGCATTGATTTCATTTGAGGAAAGGACTTTGAAGCTAAAAAAAAAAAATTCTGAAAAACCACTCAACTGGAAAATCTAAGATCTACTTAGTGCCCTGGTGGTCTAAGATTTTAAATTCTAAAGCCAAAGAGAAATTTTTTGATTATCTGGATGTTAGGGTGTTTCCAAATACGGAGATGATCTAGAATGTTCCGCAGCCCCTGGTACTTAGCTAACGTTCTTGTGTTACATTTGATTCCTACGTACTTCAGCCCCGAGAGGCAGGGAGAATAAGGGCTATGATCCCCATATCATAGCCAAGGATGAAGCAAATTGTCAAAGGTCACAAAACCACACTGAGGCAAAGCAGAAATAAGAACCCTGGTGTCCTCTCTCCTCGCAATGGGGGACACTAAGCAGAGAACCTGAGTCATCAGTGGGAGTCCGTGGTGCCCCCTAGGGGGCTGAAGGAACATCCTGCAGTGCATCCCTGCCTCTCCAGGGCCCCAGGGAGCTGGCAGAAGGAGACAGATAATGAGCTGCTGATTATTCAGGCTGCAGCATTTTTGCTGAGTCGGGAACAGACACTCCCCCAACAAGAAATAAAATTAAACAGGCCCTTCTGTCCGGAAGCTTTAAATACACTGCCTAGCGTGAAGCGTGCCGGGGAGGGAGAGTGGGGTTGGCAGCGGCAAAGCTAAGTGGCAGGGGATTTATGTACTAGGGTCCAAGAAAAAAACACTAGCAGCCTCTCTCCATTAAGCACAAAAAGAATGGTCCAAACTCCATTGCTCTTTGGCTTTGGGTGGTGGGTTGTATTTACTTCTGAGAAAAAATAGCCACAGTAAGTTTGTTATTAGAGACACAAGATAAATACCTGGCTCAGGAAGGCTGCCCCTTCCCCATCCTGATGCTCAACTTCTCTTGGCTGCTCTCTCCTTGCTGAGGATGGGCAGCTTTGCCCTCAGACTGGAAAGCAAAGCACTAGCCCAAGCAACCCTGCCCTAACTTGGTGCTTGCCATCTTTCTGGATGGAATTTGGTATTTGGCTTCCCTCTCCTGTTGGGCTGCCAACTATATGGAGGAATAAATGGAAATGATGATGAATAAACAGAGTAGGTGATAGTATCAAGGAGTTGAAAGCAGATAAGGGACCATGTTGATGAAAAGAGACTTGCCTCCTAACTGGAGTTGAACCAGTGCTTCTGTGACGTACACAACTCCCACCCAGGAGGCAACCAGAGGCTGAGCCCAGTCACCTCCTACCTGGGACCCAGAGTACAGCGAGAAGACACCTACTGCTTAGAATCGTCCCTGCACATGACAGGCTCGGGCTGTAGATGTGGGCCATGGGACCCTGGAAACGGGTTTCTGAGGCTCTGCTCTGGCATCGGGATTGGAACCTAAGAAGAAAGGAAGAGTCACAGGGAAAAGCCCTACCTCCCTTTACTTATATTGTTGTTAACTGCTGTTGAGTCGACCCCTGACTCATGGCAACCCCATGCAGAATGGAACAAAATGCTGCCTGGTCCTGCGCCATCCCCATGATCAGTTGCAGATCAGACTGTTGTGAGGGTTTTCACTGGCTGATTTTTGGAAGTAGATTGCCAGGCCTTTTTTGGAAGTAGATCACCAGGCCTTTCTTCCTAGTTCATCTTAGTCTAGAAGCTCTGCTGAAACCTGTTCAGCATCATAGCAACATGCAAGCCTCCATTGATAGATGGTGGCTGCATGAGGTGTATTAACTGGGAATTGAACCTGGGTCTCCTGCATGGAAAGTGAGAATTCTACCAGTAACCACAAATGTCCTCCCTTTACTTATACAGGTCCTAAGATCTTTCCCTCTTCCAAGATGGCTTCCTAGAATGGATTTCTTTCTCCCAGTCTCCTCCCCTCCCTCCCTGCTACATAGGCTCCTCATTTCCAAACACACAAGGATCTGACAGAATATTTCTCCTTCCTGAACAGGCTCTGAAGGCTTCCTAGTGCCTAAGAAGTAAGACATTCAGGTAAAAAATCTAGGACTGAAGGGACTCTGAGTTCGGGAGAGGCATTTCTCCCAATATTCCACTAGCTCCAAGCCTTCCCGATGCCCAGGCCTCACGCCCCCAAGTCCTACCTCCTCGGTTAGACCTTCACCCTTGTCCGCTGGGGGCTGCTCCTGGTCTGGGGACTTCCCTTCCCCAGCCCTCTCTACCTGAGACACTGTTTCCAAGCTCTCCTCCTGAAGGACTCCAGATCCTGGGTGGAGCTCTGGGGTGCAGGGCTGGCTTCGAAGGCCGGACAGTGAGGGGGCGTGAGGAAGGCTAAGAAGAAATGAAAGAGAGAGGCAGGGTGTGGGGGCAGGTGGAGAAAGCAGGGAAGGGGAAGAGCAGGGTCTCCACGGCACCTAGATAATATAGAACCTACAGAGGATGGGACTTGGGTGTCAAATGGGCATTAGCACAGGACAAGGAAGGAGTCAGGAATTTTCTGGTTAGGCAACAGTGATATCCATCCCCTAACTTCACCTTCTCTTGGTTGATAGGTACCGCTTAGGTGGGCTGGGCTGCGGTGTCATTTTCTCATGTGACAGTGCAGAGCACATTCTAGGTGACAATCAGAGTGCTGGGCACTAGGTGGGAACCCCGGGCACCAGGTGGGAACCCCTGACCCTAGGTGTAGGAACAAAAGCAAGGCATCATAGCCCTCTAGAAGCTGCAGAAGGGGGGCTGGCTCCCCATCCTGACTGGCAAGCTGAAGGGTGAGGGCAGGAAAGAGCAGCAGGACTTACTGTGATTGTGGCAGGGCCAATCTGGGGGATCGTGGGAGCTCCTGTTGTGGGGCCCGGGCTCCTGCCTCATATGCCTGGAGCTTCTCCCTCAGGGTGGCCACCTGGAACCAAAGCAGCCCAACCCCTCAGGGTCCTAGGTGAGTGCAGGAGGCAAGGGGAGGGCGCAGAGCCCTGGCCACACCCAGATGCTCCCATCTCTCACTCCATCCCCCAGCCTGGAGCCCTGCCTCCCAGCCAGGCTCCCTGGGTGGCTTCTCACCTCAGCCTGCAGCTGTTGGCAGATGGTGGCGTACTGGCTGATGTGACAGTCCAGGCTGACCACATTGCTCTTCAGCTGGGAAGGGGGCACAGGGGAGAGATTTGTGAGTTCAGTCAAACCAGCTTTTATCAACCACCTCCAATGGCCAGGCACTGCGCCAGAAGCCTTATTCACATTACTGGGGCTGACGCTCACAACCGGGGAAACAAAGGCAGAAAGTGCTTTTGAACCCCAGACCCCTGACTCCCTGATCGATAATTCTTGCCATTGGGCTTTCTGCAGCAGCTTCAGGAGTACCAGGGACCCCTAGGGGTGGGGCGGGGCGGGGCGGGGCAGGGGAGGCTGCACAGACATAGCAGAAACCAGTGCAAGTCTGCCTTCATCTGTTTTATATATTGGTGTTTGCGGTGTTTGCTGAAAATATGGTCCTGCTGCTAAAAACAAGTCTGGGGGGAAAAAAAAAATCACTGGACAACACCACTGCAGTCACCCCACAGTGTGTGATATTCTACTCTTACATCCCTGTGAGTCTTGGAGACCACCCTGCCTCTCTCCCAAGTGGAGGCTTTCCAAGGATGGAGACTATGTTGCTTCTATCACAGAGAATTTCCTGAAGATGGAGGTTACGGAACCTCTTTCCCCTGCCTTGGGAAATACTTAGCTCAGGTACCTGAGGAAGCTGGCTGGGCCCTGCCCCTTCCTCCTCCCAGACAGGGCTCCCCTGATGCCCATGCCAGATGTCCCTGGCCGGCACACACCGTGAGTTTGATCTCCTTGGCCCGGTCAGCATACTTGAGGGTGTTGTAAGTGTCTTCGTAGGCCAGGCTGGAGGGGCTGACGGCAGCGATCATCACTGTGCGGCAGTTGCCCCCAATGGAGTCCTTGAGCAGGCGGGTCAGCTTGCTGTCCCGGTAAGGCACGTGAGACTTGCGGCCCTGTGGGGCAGTGAGCGGGTGTGAGGTGAGGTAGCTGGGCTAGACGGACCCAGGCTGGGCCCAGCAGCCTTTGCCCAGGGCTGGAGGGAGGCCCTTGGGTTCAGGCACTCAGTTGCTGTCCTGGAAGGACCTAGGTCTATGCAACTTTACCTTTGCATCGGCCAGGGCATTAAGGACATTGATGAGAGCCAGCAGAGAGCGGTTGATGTTGGCGCCTTCCCGCAGCCGCTCCCCCTTTGCATGGGTGCTGGACGCCCGCTCCGAGCCGGCCAGGTCAATCAGGCTCATCTTGGCCACCTGAAAGGCCTGGGTCAGTCCTGGAACCCGGTCCTGCTGCTTCACGAAGATCTGGAAGCATACGGCAGGTGTGAGGGGGGAGCTGGAGCATCAGGAGACCTCGTTGCCAGGTCTGACCCATGGCCCCTCTCACCTGGAAGATGGCATGGGAGCGGGAGGAAGTCGCGTTGGCATCAGTGGGGTGCTGCGTGCGGTTACGGTTCCCCCTGGTGAGCATCTCCAGCAGCTGCTCAGCTGAGGTTGGCTACAAAGGAAATGCTCAGGAAGGGGGCTGTGGTCTCCCCCACCAGGACCTTGCCTTAACAGGAAGGGCTGCTCTTCAGAACCAAAATCACCCCCTTGCTGCCATCACTGCTGCCACCCCCACAACAGGACCCAGGGCATCTCCAAATTGCCTTGTGAGGGAATCCCGAAGGACCAATGGGACTGCTCATCCCACCCAAGCCCAATCCCATACCTGGTGGAAGGAAAGGCCTTGTACCACCACCCCCTTGTCGGGGTCCTCACGGATGGCAAGAGGCCCTTTGGGCTCCAGGAGGTCGTGGATCTGCTCATTGTACACCTGAGGAGGAAGCAAGCAAGGAGACCTGAGGGAGGGGCCATGCCAGGAAGCCTCTTTCCCTTGAAGCCAGCGAGGGGCTGAGCTCTGGGGAGAGGGAAGCATAACCAGACTGGTGAGTGTCTGTGACACAGTATCACCGGTGGCACTTGGCAGGATGACATTCAGGGAACAAGAGCAGGACAGGCAGGTTTTAGTTCTCATGCAGTCTCTCATGGAGCTGTCTCTGTGTTCCCTTGGCCTCTCATTTGGCCACAAACCATCCATTTGCTACCACCCTCTCACCTACTCACAGCCCCCTGCTCACTCCCTCCTCAGGTGGCTGTGAAAGTGAGGGGTGGGTCCTCCGGGCAGGGCAGGGAACAGTCCTACCTCCTGGTAGTTGATGAGCACCTCGAACTGCTTCTCCTCCTGGAGGGCCTCAAGACGCCTGTACAGCTCCATGGTGGTCAGGTACATGATGCCAGGGTCCCCCTCCCTGCCCAGCATGGTGTGTGTCTTCCCAGCCCCCGTGGCTCCATAGGCGAACACTGCAGAGGACAGAGTAGGGAGGGCAGTGGTGGTGGAGCCAGATCCACCTTCTCTAGGGTCTTCCCCAGTGCGTTCCCACCTGTTCGCCCTTCCTTCCTCCCCAAGGCTCTTTCCTTTAGCTTCCATGTCCACCACGCTACTGCTTCTACCCACTTGCATGCCCTCATGTTTGTGCTGCAGCATTTATGAGTTCTCCGTGTGTCTGTCCTGGTCCTTGATAGGCCTATGGATTTGAGGGCAGAGGGATCCCCACTGCTGGTGGGGACTTATCTCTTCCACAGGGAAGTCTTCTGCAGTCTAGGTCAGCTTTCTCTGTTTAAGGCTCACAAGCCTTTCCATCATATGACTTACTTCAGTTTATACCCACCCTCTTGTTGGTGTGATTTTGTGATTAGTGTCTTCTGTCCCCTCTAGACTGTAAGTACTGGAACCATGTGTGTTTGGTCTCCTATTGTATCCTCAGGGCCCAGTACAGCGCCTTGCACATAGTAGAAGAACAAATGGGGACCCTCAGGGAATGAAAGGACCAGAGGCCTCCTCAACAAGTCATGCCCAGCTGAGGGGGAGGCAGTCACATGTCAGAAGACACATGAAATCTTTAGAAGGAAGCAAGGAACCAAGGCCACTATCCATTCCACCACGGCTCTTCCTCCTCGCCACCCAGTTCTCACCTGAGCAGTTGTAGCCCTGGAGGAAGCCGTCTAGGATGCTGTGGGTGGTGTACTGGAACACATCCTGTTGGGTGGCCGCCTCACCAAAGACCCGGTCAAAGACAAACTTCAGGTCTTTGCCTTTCTTCTTGGAACCATCATGGGTGCTGCCCCATTTCAGGCCAGGGAACCCCCCATCAGGTTCCTCAGGGTCAAACACCAGCACTTGCTCATCCACCACCTGAACCACAGGACGCCGTTGACTCTCCAACTCCCGTGGTGTGGGGGGTCGTACTCGCACTACCACCTGAACCGTACTGTCCTCCACCGCCATCACCATGGCAACACCTGGGTAGAGACACAATGGAGATGAGGACCCACTGGACCCCAGGCCTGACCAGGTGTCCCTCAGTCTAGCGCTTAAGGGCCTCCTCCCAAACCCTTCCCAACAGATGATCTTGATTGTATACCTCAACAGAAACAGTACAGTGTGGAGCTCTGGCTTGAATCTGAAAACCCACATCCACCATTGACCAGCTGTGTGACCTTGGGCAAGTGACCCCTGGCCCCTAGGTCTATTTCTTTACTTGTAAGATGAAGATAACAGCACCCAACAATCAGATGGCTCTAAGGAAGGACAGTGAGTGCTGCTAAGTGACAACAAATGTTTTGCTTCTCTTCAGTTACTGACAGCAATTGGATAGGACGTTATAGCTTGCAGACTTGTGTTCTTTCTTATCCTTCATTATATCCCTCTCCCTCCTATTTTAATTTATCAGATATTTAAGTAATCCTAACTCTGAAATGTAATTAATTTTTCCAAATTTTACTTTTAATTGTGCTCTTACTAACACATCCTCGTTGTAAAAATTTCAAACAATAAAATGAACCAAAAACCAAACCAAATCCACTGCCATCGAGTCAATTCTGACTCATGGCGATCTTACAGGATGGAGTACAACTGCCCCATGGGGTTTCCAAGGCTGTAAATCTTTACATAAGCACACTGCCATATCTTTCTCCCTCAAATCGGCTAGTAGGTTCAAACCATGGACGTTTTGGTTAGCAGCAGAGCACTTTAACCATTATGCTACCAGGGCTTCTAGATAAACTGAAAGTCTCCCTTAATCAACCTCCATTTCTGGAGGTTATCGCTCTTGGTAGTTTTATAAGTCTCCTTCCAGGCCTCCCTGCATACATTTTGTTGTTGTTAGTTGCTGTCCAGTCGGCTCCAACTCATGGCGACCCATGTACAACAGAATGAAACGTTGCTCAGTCCTGAGCCATCTTCACAATCGTTTGTATGCTCGAGTCCATTGTTATGGCCACTGTGTATTTTGAGTGCCTTCTAACCTAGGGGGCTTATCTTCTAACACTGTATTGGACAATATTCTGTTCTGATCTGTAGGGTTTTCATTGGCTGATTTTTTTTTTTTTTTTAGTAGTACACATATTGTTTTATGACATTGGTTAACAACCCCACAACATGTCAACCCTCTAACTTCTCAACATTTTTTTTGGTGAAAATACACATAGC